GAGAGTATGTTGTTTGTGTTTACAGCTTTAAAGCATAAAGGAGTGTTGTATTTACTTTGTGATTTAAATTTAGTATTGGAGTTGGCAGTTTGGAAATTAGATTGGGATTTAAGAGGTATATTGAAAAAATCAGTAGTAAAGAGAATATAATGGTTTGGCAGAATGGTAAGCTCATGTGGTAAATAAATGTGGGCTTCAGTTTTGTTTATCTTTAATGTTATTATAAAAGTATTTAGTAGTTGGGTAGAATTTATTTGTTGCAAATATTAGAAAAAAGTTTTTATAGTAGGTTGGAAATGTAATAGAGAAAGATGGTGATATTGGAGAAATTTGTTATAGCAGATGTCCAAATCATAGGAATTTAATAATGTTGATAATGATTTGGGTTATGTATCTTTTGTAGGGTTACTCACTATTTTAAACTCAGTTCTCATAGCTGTGAAGAGTGCCATAGTCTGCCCTGTATGTTAGGTCTAACTGTTATTATCTTGGTTCTTTGCATAGTTTGGTTATGATGTAATTAATATAATTTATATTAATTATATTTATTTTTTTTTAGAAAACAAAGAAAAGACATGAATATGCATTGCTTATGGATCATAATAAATTAGGCAAAACTTTATCTGATATTGATAAGGTAATAAAATCTGAATATGCAAGTCTAAAAATTAGTGATAAAGAAAATGATGTTGATGTATTTTATATTGTTCAAATTCCTTAGAGGAATTAAAGAGTAAGCTTATAATTTAAATATAAAATTTTATTATATATATATAATGTTTAATTAATAATAAAAATATTTATTTTATATAGCTTTGTAAATTAATTCAAAACTTGATTGAGAAAATGAAAAAAAAAAAGATCTTCAAAGCATCAAAAAAAACATAAAAGAAGTTCATCTATATTGTGCATTAATGTTAATGAACATCATAAAAAATTTGATGAACTAAAAAACCAATTATCTGCTGCATCTAATTCAGATGATGTTGATAATAGTATCTGGCCAGCTTGGGCCTTACCAAATGATTATGATAATACTAAACTTGATTCTGAACCTGATGATAAGGCTATTTCTTAGATAATAAAAATATTATATTAAAAATTATTTTAATATACAGTATTATTTAAAAATTATTAATATTTTTATTTTTATTTTTAAATATTTAAAGATTTGATTTTTTCAATAATACAAAAAAAAACTCTCTCTGATGATCACTTAAACACAAAATTGGTAAAAAAAGAAATCAACTTTCTGCACTAACAGCAATAGATAACACTTTCAACAACACTAAGAAAACATAATAGCAACAAAGAAAGCAACAAATAAGCTTAGAAGCAAAAAGCATTGCAAGTATTAATAAGATAGCTATAGAAGAAAACCAAAGTTTTTTGTAAAAATTTTAGTAAAAAAGAAAAATCTTAGGGAATTGCTAGTGACCCTATATGTAGATTTGTTTGAATTACACAAACAACACGTACAGTTTGGACAAAACAAACATGTACAAGATTTTAGAATAAAATAAGATAAACAAGCCACTTGTAGAACAAACAAACAAATACAATAAACATATAATAGAACATCCTAGAAGAATAGAGTCGTAAATATGAACAAAAATCTTCCTATAGAGTATAGGAAAAGTCTACAAGCACTTTTCATAAAAAGAGCATACTGGGCCATAAATAGTGTGCATAACAAAATTTTTTTCAATGAGGCAAGCAAAGCATACACAGTATCAGATAAAGAAGACAAAATTGTTGCATTGCTCACAAATCAAGACCCTAATGAGGTGGCACTTTTATGACTAACAAGAGAAATTTTAGAGAAAGCTAAGAAAGAACAGCTAGAGAAAAAACTAAATATAAAAAACTGAGACCTAAAAACAAAAACAGAAGGAGAACAAATACAGTTTAACCAAAACAAAGAACAGTAAGTGACAACAAAAGAAAATGAAGAAGAGAGTATCAAAAGAAAACAAGAAATGAAAAGAAATATAGAAGAAGAAATTGGAAATATAGGAAAACAAGAAGAAACAAATATATCACAAAGAGAAGAGTGGAGAGAGATAAGTATAGAAAGAAATAACAAACTGACAGGTGAATCCAGTATTCAGAAACAAGAAACCAAGAAGCAAAGAAATATAAGCGAACAAGAGGATATAGAAATGAATAGTAAGCAATCAAGACAAAACATACTAAAGGAAGAAAGAGAAAGACAGAAAAGAAGGAAGCAAGAAACAGAGGAAGAAATTAACATTGTAGGAATAGCATTAGAACAAAGTATATAGGCACCAAGCAGAAGAAATTGTAATCAAAACAACAGTCTAATCACCAATATACCAGCATATAAGATCTCTAGAAAAACAAAAAAAGAACATATAAAGTTTATTAAATAGTCTCTAAAGAATAATACACATGTAAAAGACATCAATGAAATATTCAAGAGAGGAAATCTGTAGTTAGAAGTGGTCTTTAATTGTAATTACAGCAGAGATGAAGCTATACAAAGAATTAACAGAAAAGAGAGTAATTGGTACAAGATAATATCAGAAGATAAAGAAAAGAAAGAGAGAGAAAAAGAAGAATCCAGAGACTACAAGAAAGAACGACAAGACAAAGGAAAACATATACCAAGTTTTGGAAAAGAGAAGGCTAAAGAAGGCATTAACAGAGAAGAACTATACAAGAATGAATATGAGGAAAAAGAAAAACTTAGTAGCAATACGACTTACTTAACAATATAGAACCTACCAGCTAACATAAACAAAAGAGAAGTAGTGTATATTTGCAGAAGAATTAAAGATGTGCAGATTATATGCATCGAAAGGTTTAAGTACAAAGCCTTAGCAGTAATACAAACATGGGGCATAGAGGAAGAAGATATTCTATAGTCATTGCCAGCTGACAATAATAAGCTAGTAAGAGTAACAAGAGGAAGAAAAGACCACGAAGCAAGAGAAAGACAAAGGAAACATACAGCCAAACTAACAAAGCTACCTGGAAATGCTTCAAAAGTCTTATTATTGCAATGCTTAAGAAGTAAAGGAGCGAAGTCTGTATACATTCCACCAAACCGAAATGGGAACTAGAAGCGAACAGCACTGATTATTTTCACAACAGAAGAAGATATGAGGGCAGCATAGTCAAAACCAATTATGTACAACAATTTTCGAGTATACTGGGTTAATGAAAGAAGAAGAAAGCCAAGAAGTAGAGAAAGTTTCAAGAATAGAAGAGAAAGAAGTTGAGATAGATTAAGCCAAAACTATGATGCAGAAGAAAACAAAAGTAAAGAAAGAAGTCATTAGAAAGAAAGATTAGGAAGACCCAAAACCAAAAGTTCAAATGATAGAATAAGAAAATAGCAACCTAAAACAGAATATTAAAAACCAAAGTAGATATAGAAGTATAGATAATAGAAAAGAAGAAAGT